TTTTTTTTAAGCTGCCTGCCCGCGACCCTCCCCCCCCTCAATTTCTAGAAAAAGAAGTTGGAGGTGGCTGGCACAGGGTTGATACATTTCAAGGAAGAGCCTGCAGAGTCATGACTCATGCTCTAGGACCGAGGGACCGGTCCGAGAGCCCCCAGCCTGTTAGTTCTCCCTGTTTTCTGGAAATTTAGATCAGCGCATTCAGAGTCCGAGATGGTGCTTGCAAATCAGGAATTTCCGCCGCCGGCCGGCGCTGACCCGGGCTCTGCTTTCCGCGGGGTCTGCTGGCGCCGCGCTGTTCTCCTGTTCCTTGGCGCCCTCTCCTCAGCCCCTTGTGACGTTTAAAATGGCCACCCTGCTTTCTTCGGGTGCCCACTGCTTTCTCCCGTGGCAAGGGCTGGGGAAGGGTTTTATTTCCATTTCCATTGATGTTTCGGGTGGACAGTGGGCTGTACCCTGCGTGGAATTTCCCAGGGGGGTTAAGGTCCGCGACAGCAAGTGCAGCCCCGTCTGCTGAGGCCGTCCTGGAGTTTGCTGCGTGATCGGGACAGGGCTGTAGAGATTGTACCCGATTAAAAAGTCTTCGGCTGGGCGGCGTGCGCGCCCGACTTTGTTGTCGCGTTTTGAACTGGGTACTGCTGCCATCTGGTGTCTAGATGGAAAAATAAATGCTCTGCACCCGACCAGGTTTTTTGGGGGCTGGGAACATCCCATGTGCTTACTTGAAACGAGGCCCGATGATTAATTTCTTGGCTCGCAGTTCTCTCGGAGACCTTTTGCCTCGTTTCAGTGAAAGCTATGGTGACTTGCGCGTCTTAGGAATCTGAGTTTACCCACCCGGCGTGGGGAGCTCCAGGGTTGATTTGGCTGTGCAGTTGCATGCCCATAGAGAAGAGAGAAGGCGGGGTTGTTAGCAGAGTGCCTCTCGTGGTGGTTCATTTTTGTGGCATCCAAACTGGTTTTTATTTGCCACTCTGTTTGTTCAGCAGAAGGTCCACTTCTGAAGAGTTTCTGGGAAGCCTCACGTTTCTGCCTGAATCTGTGGTGTGGTTCAGACTGGTCAGTTGGAGTCCTCTGAAGTTCAAGGGAGTGAATAGTTTGGAGTCACTTGTGTTGCTGGCATTTTAATTTTTCCATCGCAGACGTCCAGAAGAGTTGCCAGCCTAGACACTGACCTGCTGATATGTTTCTGCATTTGCTTGCCACGCCACTCTTTTTATGTCCTTTGTCCTCCAGTCTCTTATTTTGGGGGATGCGTCTCAGAGCGAGGTGAGACACACGTCCTGCCACTCCTAGGCACATCAGCACACTTTCCATTAATTTTGACTAGAATTTGTATCAGTGAAGCATACCTCTTAAGCAGGCTGTTTGGAGTGTGGGCAGGTGTCTGTACCTGGGTGACCAACGCTGTGCCTTCCCCGTGAAGTAATTTCTGTTTCCTACACGGCTTTGTGGACAATATCTTGGATACAGGTGTGACGATGGCGGGAACTCCAGGATGCGTTTGACTCTGTGTCCTGCCACCCGGGGCGGTGCGAAGCCCAGACGTGGCTCTGGTGGCGCTGTCTAGACGGAGCGGGAGCCGGGATCGGAGCGGGAGCTCTGCCCGGCGGGGCTGAGCTGTGCGCCTGCCTTTCTTTGTCTCCCAGGGCCCTCTGTCCATTTAGCAGCCTCGGGAGCGACTCTGCACTGGCGTCTGTCTTCCGGATAAGGAAGCCAGGCCTCCTCAGAGTGTGATGCAATTTCCCCGAAGTTGCTTGTCAAGGAAGTGGCCCGGCCACTGGGAGGTGTGGACCTTGACAGGAGGGTAGGGGGGGAGACGGGCTCAGGGTGGCAGCCAGAAGCCAGTGAAGTCCGCAGACAGGCCAGGCCGACAGCTACAGGAGAAAGTGCATTTCTGTACTGTGGGCGCAGTAGAGCTGTTGTTTTTGCAGAATCTTCGAGAGATTCGCGCTCCTTTCTTTCGTTTTCTTTTTGAAGAAATGGCACTGAAGTTCAAGGTCTAGAGTGAGGTTGATTGAGATGATAAAGCAGAACCTAGCTGAGTCTTTCTTCAGGATATGGGAGGTTTCATGGCTGCCTGGTTTAGGCTGAACAGCTCGGCGGTTAGGTTGCTTGATTGGCGGAAATGCGGGGAGCGTGGGGGAGGGACGCTGGGCGGCAGGCCCAGCCTGGGCAAGGACGCGAGGCATCTGGAGACTTTTTTCCCCTTGGCTGTCCATAAAAATCACATCGCTGTCATTTGTGGTGTCCTTAACCCGCCCAGGTAATGTGTTTTTACACTTGACCACCTCTGGTCCCCTGGCCACGGCTGGTGGCTATCTCTTTTTTTCATATCAAAAGGGCTAATTATGGACCTACCACTCGGCAACACGGTGAGGGTTCAGGAGGTGACGGCTAAGAGCTGAGCCCCGTGACTCGAAATAAAGGTGCAGTGAATCAGTTCGCCAGCTCGGGGGCCTTCCCCCTCGGCGTGGCTGCATCAAGGACATCGGCCAGGTCGTCCTCTATACACGACTGTCTTCGGCACCTTGGGGTATGAGTAGCATCCTTTACCTCCGCCCACTTGATGCCAGGAGTGCCTGTGTGACAGACATAAATGTCCCGAGATATTTCCTGGTGGTGGGGGCAGGGTCGCACCCAGTTGATTTAATTTACTAGATAACTCACTTTAGAACAGTGACTCTGTTATGGTCCATCTGACAGGGGCCTGGGAACCGAACTTGCACAGGCCACTCACGTCATGGGTGCCACACCAAGCGGCCCTGCTGCGTCGGCTTTTCCTGTATTCCTGTTCTTGTTTCACCCAAGGACAGGGTCAGGTGCCAAATAGGACAGCCCCTTCCGGAGACCAGTCCTTCAGGTTTCAGCAGTCGGGGTTTCCTTCCTCCTTCCGGCAGCTCCCGCTGGAAGGCATGTCTTTTCAGCCAGGGGTCAGCAAACCCTTCATGTGCAGGGCCCAGTGTCGGCCCTGCGGTCTCTGTTGGGCCTGTCGACTTCTGCCAGGGGAGCTGGGAGAGTAGCCCTGGACAGTATGCAAATGAATGGGAATGTTCCAGTAAAACTTTATTTTAGAAAAACAGGCCAGAACCTTCATGCTGACTGTTGGGGTGATTAGACCCCAAACTTTAATTCAGCTCCTCTGGTTGATGCATCCAGGTTTCACTGTTCAGACTGCTGTGGAATGTGCCAGAACAGTGCCCCCGAGACCTCGGGGCGAGAGTCCTTCCAGGCCAGGGAGCTTAATCCATGTGGTCTCACTCGGCCCCGCTTCCCTCTCCTTGACTCCGGGGCGGATGTACAACAGCAGTTATGTAAGCTGAGACCATTCTGGAAAGTTCTAGAAACTGGCCAGCTTATGAGGACGATTTGGAGGTAGCCCTCTGTGCCGCCCGGCCCACCCTTCCAGCATTCCTCTTCCCTGCGACCCCCTATGTCTGCACGCTTGTAAAGGAGACTCAGCCCAGGCCTGAGCAAGCCAGCAGGCTTCTCTGAGCCTCATTCCTGCCCCATCTTGGATGTGATGCCCTGGTCATGCCCAGCAAGGGGCTGTAATAGGAGGGAGGTGTTGTCCGTAGACTAACCAGAGACGGGCATTGGGGCGCCACAGCCTGGCCCGCTACTGCTCTGTCAGGCTCCCCCACACGGGGCCGCCTCCGGCTCAACCTTACCCTCATCTGTATGCTTCCTTGCTCTGCATCCCTAGTTGCTATTCTGGTCCCTTCTCCTCCCCCTAGTGCTGCCGTAGCCCTCGTCCTCTGCCCCCACCCCTCCCCATGTTCCTGCCCGGCGCCGTCTGCTGCAGGCTCTTTGTAAAACAGGATTCGCCACCGCATGCTCCCTTCTGGCCCGGGTGCCCCCTGCTCTGGTGTCCTGCTGGCTTGGTTTATTTCCTGACCTCTCAGTCGTCCTGTTACCTTGACGGGGGCTGTGAGCTGTGTCTGTCTGTGATGAGCGCTTGCTGCGTCTGTCCTGTTCCTCGGCATAGATTGGCCACCGTGACCATGAGTGTCAGTGACCGTGTCCCCCGGGCACGCCTCTAACTGGGGGATTCTCTCTGGGGCAGTTGGATCCTGGGTGATGTCTGGGGGCCTGTGTAGGTGACACGACTGGGACTGCTTTGGTAGCCAGTAGGTGGGGACCGTGGATGTGGCTCAGCACCTCACAGTGCCCAGGGTAGCTCCCCACAGAGAAGGACCCACTGCCTGCAGTGCTGGGGTATCTCCTCACCTGGCTGCCAGGCCCCCGGGTGCCAGCATCTCCTTCGTCTTTTCTGCAGCCATGTGACAGGCCCTCGTCTGGTTTCCTGTCAATGCTGAACTGGGAATGCCGGTCTCTCGCTGTCTTTCTCTTTTAAATCAGGAAACTCTGTCTTTTAGATGGTTTTAGGATCACAGCCATACTCAGAGGAAGTTACAGAGCACCCCACCTCCCCACTGCCCTGCAGACCCCTGCAGACTCGAGGGCTGTGTTACAGCTGCTGAGTGCAGACACGCCGTGTCTGCAGAGGCCACAGGTTACGTCCAGACTTACTCTCAGTTTTGCGGACTCCTGGTGTGGACAGACTGTTTAAGGTGTGCCTGCACCGTGGCGGTACCGTGCCGAGTTGCTTCATGGCCCCTGGGGCCCCAGTTCTCTGCCTGTCTGGCCCCCCTATCTCTTGGCACCCCCATACTTCTGCCTTTTTCGGGATGCCTACCATTGGAGTGACGGACCTTTGCTTCTTGGAGAAACGATTCGCGTATCACGCCCTTCACCTGTGAAAGGCACATGTCGAGGCTCTCAGCATAGTCACTGGTCAGTTGTAGGACATTTCCCTCCCTTCCAAAGGAAACATTGTACCTTGCAGCTTTCAGTCTCCTGTTCCCCATCGAGCCTGACCTTAAGGAATGGTGAGGCCCCTTCCTGCATCTGAAGCTGCACCCTGCTCACGCCGCATCTGGCTGCTCTCCCTGAGCCGGGTGTGCCCAGGCCCCTCCCGTGGTAGCAGGCGTTGGCGCTGCCCCTGTGTCACGGCCCGGTGGTGTTCCCGTGAGCAGGGGCCCGTGTGTGGCTTGTCCTTTTCACTGCGCCACTCAGCTGCCCTGTAACTTGTAACACATACTGCAGTGAGGACCTTAGACCTGGGCCCGCCTCTCGTGGGGGCCTGGGTGCTGTTTGTACACTAATGGTGGCTGGGTCTTGGCACGACATGCTTGTGGTAAAATCTGGGGAGCAGGGGCCATGTGCCTCGCTGCCTTTCTCCCCCCTTTCTTCAGGGCACAGCTCACCAACCCGATAGTTTGCCAGCCACACAGCTCTGCCCCGAGGAGACAGGGAGCCATGTCTGGGGACATCTGTGGTCATCACGGCTGGGGGTGTTCCTGGCATCCCGTGGGTGGGGGCAGGGAGGATGCTGACACCCCCACAGTGCCGAGGGGGAGAGAGCCGTCTCCGCAGTGTCTGGACAGAACACCATGCTCTGCGGGTCCTTGCTGAGCGTTGGCAGAGCTCCCCGGCTCAGGTCTGGTCAAAGATAACTCCTTGGCCTTCTGTGCCACTGGGACGTGGCTCAGGTGACAGAGTCCTTTGCACACCTGCCCCATCTCACGAGGACTGTTGCTCTGTGCCCGAGCACAGACTCGTCAGCAGGCAATGGTGTAGGCGGATGCGATAAGGGAGTTGAAAGCGAGGGCGGAGTCAGTGGCTCCAGAGCTGTTCTGGAGGGGAAGAGGGAGCCCGAGTCTCACAGAGGACCCTGGGGAAGC